CTGCTCTGGATCAGGGCTCCTGTGGCCTGGTTCCAGTCTCAGTGCTCCGATTCCTGCTGCTATCCTGGCTAGTTGGTCCATGGGTGAGCTTGGGTTTGGCCCTCTGTGCTGTTGGCCCCTGGTGCTCTTGCCCCTGCTGTTGAAGGCAGCCGTGCACAACCTGGATCCTGACAAACGTTCAGTGAGGTGTGTGCAAAAGCACGGTAAAGGTAAAGATTCCCCTTGATATTGAGTCCAGTTGTGTCCAACTCCAGGGTGCGGTGCTCATCCCCATCTCCAACCCATAGAGCCAGCGTTTTGTCTGAAGACAATCTTCCATGGTCACGTGGCCAGCCCGACTAGACACAGAACGCTGTTACCTTCCCACTGAGGTGTATCTATTTAATTTGCATGCGTTCGAACGGCTCAGTTGGCAGGAGCTGGGACAAGCGACGGGAGCTCCCTCCATTGCGTGGATTCGATCTTACGATGGCTGGTCTTCCAATCTTGCGGCACAGAGACTTCTGCGGTTTAACCCGCAGCGCCACATCCCAGGGTGCCAAAGTACGGTACATTAGAACAAAGAGATTTGCTGTGTCCTTTTTAAAGTCTATCTTGATTACTAGCTGATGGGGGGGGGGGAACCGATTCATTTGTGGTGCTGGAGGAGAGCTTTGTAGTGTCCCTGGACTGCCAAAAAGACTAACAAGGGGGACCCAGATCAAATCGAGCCCAAATCATCTCTGGAGGCAAATGTGACAAAACTGATCTATCTTGGCTACTAGCTGATGGGGGGGGGGGAAACGATTCGTTTGTGGTGCTGGAGGAGAGCTTTGCAGTGTCCCTGGACTGCCAAAAAGACCAACAACAGGGACCCAGATCAATTCGAGCCCGAATCATCACTGGAGGCAAACATGACAAAACTGAGGCTGTCCTATCTTGGGTACATCATGAGAAGGCAGGATTCTCCAGAAAAGACGACAATTCTGGAAAAGCAGCAGGACAAGAGGAAGACCCAATACGAGATGGATGGAGTCCCTAACAGAAGCCACAAGGGTGAGTTTACAAGAGCTGAGCAGGAACTGTTGAGGACAGGGCCTTTTGGAAAGGGGTCATTCACAGGGTCGCCAATGAGTTGGAGGTGACTTGACAGAACAACAGCGATGGAGGAGAGCCACGGCAATGACAAGCGATGCCAGGAAGCAAACCTTTTAACACAGTGTGGCACCTCATTTATACGGGGAGGGCTGCCCTTGTCCTTGACAGATAATGGAGGCTGTTTCGGCTGTCCTTCCTTTACAGTCTGGAAACACAATTTGCATGTCATGCCTATAAAAACGAAGCGGCTTTGAGTGAATCAAGCCAGCTTTTTTGACGCCAGCTTCCTCCTCCCTGCTTTGCAGTCTGCCAGCGTCAGCCGTCCAGGCGTCGGTTGTCACGTCAGGAAGGGTTATTTTAGTTGTCTCCTTGCGTGTGGTTGTGTTGCTAATGAGCCCCTTGGGTCACAGATGTCTTCCTTTCTAACAATAACACCCAGTCACTCTGGTGGGGAAGGAGTTTCTTACTGGCCAAAATCAAGCCTGTTTTTGGATTTCTGCGGGCCACAACCCAGGAGCAGCCTTGGACCCGAAATCCAATTACTGATCCCAGTGAGAGGAGACCTATGGAACCAGTGAGATTTAAACCAGTGTCGGTTTAATCTGTAATCGAGTTTGTAGGTCGGCTCTGCACTGAGACGACCAACAGGACTGTTTAGGTCTTGACTCCTTCTTGACCCAGGTTTTCTGGGGCCAGCCCTGGAAGTTGTTTCCTATGTTGGGACTGGACTCAATATTGCCCAAACTGGAGTAGGACCCCTTCAAAAGGGCCCCCTCCCCATTTACGTGAGTGAGCAAAAAATGTTTAAAAAATCTGAGCCAAATGTTGCTCTTCCCCCCAACAAGCCTAGAAGGCTGATCCAGTCAAAATCCCTGTAAAAAATTGAGTTGAAATGTCTAGTCAGTTTCAGCTTCCCTCCTTCACAAGCCTGGTCAATTTCAGTCCCAGGTGAACTCTCCTGCCTTTGCAAATTTAGTCAGTTTCAGCCCTGGCTGGGTGTTTCCTTCTCTTCTGTAGGTTTGTGTTTGTCTGTCCTTGCTTAGTGCAGGGAAAGCTCTGGGTTTCCCCCCCCTTCCTGCCATTCTGTTTTAGCGCTATTTCAGTGGGCAAGAAATAAAACAAAATAATAAAAACAACAACAGAACAGCAACAGCTAGTGGCTGAGAGAGGCGGCCAGCATGAGGACGAGCGGGCACAGGACAACACCTGAAATTCATTGATTCTGAAAGCCCATGTAGCCCCTTCATTCAATAATACAACACAGTTTTTAAAAAAGATTAAAAGTTTTCCCAAGACAAGAGAAGCCCAGAAACCATGTGGCTTTAAATCAAATTCAAAACCCCTAATAAATCACTTGATTTATTTCTGTAGTGTAACCATCCTCTTTCAAAACATGGAAAAGATGCCCCACATGGTGCCTAGTCTAAACTCTCCCGACACACAAACACCAATCAAATCCGAGGGACACACTCTCTAAATAAAGCACACACAACAAGAACAACTTGGTAAGCAGCAGATGGCTGGACCACAAGAAGACAGGGCAAGGATTCTTCAACCGAGAATGGCTGATCTTTGTTTCTTTAGCTTGTACCTCCTAATGGTTCATTGGGAGTCCCGAACCTGGATGCATCACGTCTTTTATGTCATGCATTAATTCCAGTTCAACATTAGGCTTCCTTCTAATTATTTTGGATTAGCATTCCGAATCTAGGGTCTCCTACTCCACTGTATTTGTATTGACATATTTGGAAACCGCACAAGCCAATGTATGGAGCATGGTGGCTTCATGAATCTGAACAAATGAAGCCCGGTGTATCTATCATCTCACGCTCCTCCTTTGGTTTCTCCAAGAGTGAAGCTTATGCATTACGGTCTTTTATCACTGGGAACATTTTGTTTGCAGAAGTCTGCTTCTGTGTGGGATGTACGTTCTTGGGTTTTGTGTTCGAAATGGGGACATATTGATTCTCTCCGCATATTTATTTAGATTTGGCGCCATGGTCTGCGCAGTGGCTCACTCCCAAAATGCATGTTGTGCCGGGGTGAGAAATTTAAAAACCACTTTTTCTCCACCTCCTCAAACTGGCAAAGCACATCAGAGGGTCCTCTTGTGTGTCTGGATGTAGACCGGCAGGGGAATTAAAAAATCCAGGTTAAAGACAATGCAGGAGATGCGTTGGAACCCTTCTTGGCCATTCAGAGGGAAGGATTTTAGGGTGGAAGAAGGGACAGGGTGGAAACCCAGTCTGGTGTAGTGAGTAAGTGGCACGCTGGAACTCAAGGGGACTGGGTTTGAATCTTCCCTCCACCATGGAAGCTGACTGGGGTGTGTGGAACTGATAAAGCTGCTTGTGATGAAACTCGGGACTTGGGGATTATGAACTATGGAATCCAATTGCTGGACATTTCAGTGCTCCTGTTGGAAGCTGGCCTGAACAGATATACTGAAGGAGGCCCCTGGAATGAGTTGATTTTTTCCCCATATGGTCCATTGATTCCAACAAGTCTACTCTAGCTGTGACTTACTTGGGCGTAATAATTTGCAACTCGAGTAGGCCCATTTAAATCAGTGGACCTCATTCCCGAAATCTCCATTGATCAATGGGCTGACTTACTAGAATAAATGCCAGCCTTTTGTCCACTCAGGGTATCTGTGATTTTACTGTGCTTGGGAAGGGGCTGTCAACTGAACCTGTGCAGCCAACTTTGACCGGCAGCAGCAGGGCTGGATTCTTTCCTAGCTATTCCTTAGGAAACAGGGAAGGGGAGAAATCAGGAAAAAGGTCACATGGTTGTGGGAACAATACAAATGCAGGCGCAGGGGATACCTTTGGTCACCCATTATGAAAATGTATAGAGATGGAGGCAGCTGTTGCAGCTTGTGGGTTGGTTCCAAGTTCTTCTTGAGCGAGCCATCTGGCCCATCTCTTAAAAGAGAGGCCAGGCTCCGGGAAGGGGCGCGCCTCGCTTTTCCCGGGGCCGAGGGCTGGGCGTGGGTGGGATCTCCCCTCCCGA